GATATAAGTCCATTAGCATTCAAAACTAAACATTGCCAACATGGCTTTTTAGCATTGCCAAGATGGACTAAACAAAATAGGAAAAAAAAGAGAATCCCATTAAGCATATCATTATGATAAATCACAAAAGCCCCAAATTGTCTTCTCCGGATATATAAGGACAATATAATGAATGTTATCAAACATACACAGATACATAGAATTAAAGTACAATACTTAGTAATATTTCATCTCCACTGATCTAGGCTCCATATAATATAGGAAGCACAGAAGCGTTAAAAGAGACATTTGATATAAGTCCATTAGCATTCAAAACTAAACATTGCCTATAAGGTTTTTTAGCTTTGCCAAGATGAAATTAGCAAAATAACCATTAGGAATAAAAAATGGGGAAAGTATATGACTGGGAAACATCCAACATACAATAGGAAAGGGCATAACTCATCTTTCATGAACCACAGCAACAAACTCAGGAAGGATAAAATATGTAATCCTATATTAATTTAACTTGAGATTGAGATTAATAAAAATGGGCACTAAAAGGGTAACCTCCATAGTCCTTGTATTCAGGGTCAACATAAGAATCAGGAAGCACAAATAGAACTCCAGGCAAACCTGTTAAAAATGAAGGAAATAATATAAGAAATAAGACCCAATTCCATAGAAGAAAACAAAAAATAATGATTAAGATCAAACCTTCAAGCTTATTGGAGGTCTCCTCATCAATTTCACACCCAAATCCAAAATACCTCTCACATGACACATTGTAGATCTTCTTCTTGGCTTCCTCCTCACTGTAATAGTTAAAACAGCAAAAATTATCAAACCCAAGAAAACAAAAACCTAAATTCTCCCATTATTTTTCTCATCAGCCAAACACAACTCATTAGAAGAAAAAGAGAAAATGTATAAACAATAATTATACCTGCCGAGCACTTTGGCCAGCGTTTGAATATAGCAATCTATCATCTGCTGCTTGGTGGCTCCCTCTCCACCAGGCTTATCCATCACAATGAGCCAATGTTGGTAATCACATCCGGGGAAAAGAGGGGCCATTTCGGTAGGGGGACGGTCGCTGAAGTTCGACCCAGAGTTCAATGGTGAGTACGCGGAGTTCCCAGAGCGGTTGACACGGCATCGGATGGGAGTGAAACGAGTGGCGGCGACGGAGAGACCGAGAGGTAGGGATCGGGTGGCGCGAGAGAGGGACCCGAGAGGTTGACGTGAGAGTAATAAAGAGGGAACTGGAGGAGGGCGGGTGATGCTGGTGGTGGAGAGAAGGCGTTTAGGAAGGAGGGAGGAGAGAAAAGGGTGACGCGTGATGGCGGAGGTGGCGGTCCGTGCTAGGGTTTGTGCCATCCTGAGACGTAGGTAGAGCAGAGTGTAGAGTAAGAATTGAGAATTTAGGGAGAGACACAAGGGGATACGGTTAGACCTAAAAAAGGGTTTTGGGGATATGTTGGGTATTTAATCTTCAGCGATGGACTTTGGGTTTTGGGTTGGATTTGGACCTGCTATGGTTTTGGGCTTACAACAATTCGTGGAATGTAACAGCTAGCACTCGGACCATGATCGGCCCGAGTAAAATCTGCCCTTTTAAAAATAACTTTTTAACCTGTACAGTAATAATATATATATTAAGAGTATAATTATTATACTTTTTAACCATTAAATCTTATGAAAAATAAAAAATTAATATTAGTTTTAATATCAATATCACATGTATTATTTAATTAATTAGTTGATAAAAATAAAGTTAATTTTACTATAAAATAAGAAGAAAAATGGCAAGATGACAAATGAAAGGAGAGAGTTTCTTATTTCATCAAGTATTCTTCCATCAACCAACATACAAATTTGTAGGCCTATATATAGGCTAAGGGACATAGGAGGTTACATTTGCCATT